AAAATGACAAGTGCTTTCGGTTTTTTGGTAAATGTTACTGAAATAATACTGTTAAGTCAGGATAATGGAATGGTTAACTCTTTATTATTTTAAATCTGATATATATTCGTATGTATATAGAAATGATATATATGAATTATATATGTGAAAAAAGAATTGCTTTATTTTACATAATTTAATTTTATGAATTTGTGCACGTAGATGGCAAAAGTAGCCATAAATTTACTTCTGAAAGTCTTTAATTATTTTTAAATGCTGTCGAGTTGCGTACATCCTGTCTATTCAGAGAGACGCCTTCATCGCAGCACTGCGAGTGACTGTTATGAAAAATGTCGACCTCACAAATGCCACAAACGCCTCCGTAACTCATTTATATAAATTTTCTTCCTTTTCTCTTATTTCTGAACGTTTTTATGTTAAAGAAAGGAAAAATCAGGAAAACGTGGCAAAAGACTTTAGCCAAAAAGTGGAAAATTTTATGTGTGGGAATTTTTAGTAGCGGAAGTGATGTCGACATGTACTTGAACCTTGAAATTTGCTGCAAATGAAGTGCATAAAAAGCGCATATGTAATTATGCAAGTGGATTCATAAAAATCTGTATGTGTATGTGTGAGTATGTGCGTGTGAGTGAGTCCTTGCGATTGTGTTGGATTGCTGGATTGTTGGCTTGTATGCGTTATTTGGAAAGTTCGTGGCCAAACGAGAAGGAAAGGAAGAACTGTAAGGAAATTTGCAGCGACTGTGAAGTTCGTGGGGCAATGCGCACAAATGAAGCACTAAAATTTAGAAAAGGACCTCTTTTGAATAATGCAAAATTTAATTTATGAAATATGACAAAGGAAGTTAAATTATCATGAAAAATTTCGTTTGGTGGGTCGGTGATGCTATGAATACAAAAAGCGGTTGCTTCTTTCTATTCTATATATAACATTCGTATATAATGTAAACCTTTTTTTTTGGTTTTTTTTTTTTTGGTATATGTGCCCAAGATTTTTTTGGCTTGCTAAGTCAAAGTGCATAAATGATGCAAGCAAAATGATTACGAGGATGGACTAATTCTAAAGGCGAAGTTTAGGGTCAAAATTAATTCTTAGATATAATTATTGCAACTTGTGGATGCTGCTGTTTCAAACTACGCTGTCAAATAGTTTGAGTAAGTAAAAAAAGATAAATTTTTTTTGGATAATTTTATGTACCTTGACTATTCGCCTCGATTAAACAATCGTTGAGAGATTTGCAAAGTGTTTGTGTACTGAAACCCAATAGACTACTCTTGAAATTAATTTGAAGTATTTAAACTATCATAAAAATGGGAATATCACACGTACTAGAAATAAATTATTTTCTTCTAACAATATCAAATTTAATGTCATTTGTTTACAATTATAATATAAACAAAGAAAAGCTCTACAACTAAAAATGTTTGACACATAAAAGCTCTTTTCCATGCCTTAAGTAACTTCTGCTATTGTGAACGACAAAAGGCTCAATGTTACTAAGTAACTTACTGAAGTAAGCAGTGGAAATGCAGTATAAATAAACGATCTAATGAAGCCAGTGGAAACTTACTATAAACAATATACAAAACTGATTTATAATTAGAGTAAATAAAAGAGTTTATTTATTAGGTCTTTCTCACTGAAACAAACCCACAGCGCTGTCACATCAATTTCTACAATATTATAGAAAACCTTAATAAAATCCTTTGCTCTTTTTCTCGCTGACAGCAACAAAATTTTCGTGGAAAATAGTCAACGTGCGATTGGAGAAAAATTATACTTTAACACTCATATTCCAGCATAAATTTTATATCAAGATCTCTGGGTATTAACTTAGGACTTTCTTTGAAATTTAAGAGCCTGCCGAAAATCAGTCGGTAACATTTATATCAGGGTCGTGGTGCATAAACTTGAGAGTTTCATATAATTTAAGAGTTATTGAAATTAATTTGGTATAATGTTGAGATTCAGCTCCTGATATATTAACTTTATATATGTGCGAATAATAGATTTGAATACTGCAAACAAAATCTTTCGTAACAAACTTTTTTACAGATTCAAATGCAGAAAATGTTTAAGAAAAGTATTTTAATTCCATTTAAATTTAGTAAATAAATTCTGTAATTCTGTAATAAATTCATTCCGTTTTTTGCCTTAAATAAGTTTTCGAAAACTATATTTCGCATAAATAGAAATAATTCATTTAAGCTTTCTTTCATCCTTTACTCTACTAATTCCAACTATTGTGATAACTATGAAACCGCGTATTGCTTTCTTGACTTAATTCGGAACTTATGCCAAATGGGATCTCGACACAATCGCATTTTTTGTGAGGAATTCGGAGCTTTTCAAAATGTTTTTCTAGTGCCGTGTCAACTTTCAAATAAGTTTGCAACAGTTCTCCTTAAATAAGTGCTTTGCAAAATTATAAAATTTTTTAAGCATTTCATATTTTTTCAAAATTATTTACAACATTTCAGCCATTACAAAATTAAAAGACCGGAAGTCATTTATGCAAATTTTAGGAAAATTGTTCCAGTGTGTAGCCTTCTAAGTTCGTTTGCCATGGCGTGAATTTAGCGCGTGGCCTTCAATCTCGCTCCACGACTACTTTCCTGTTCTGGGGCTGCTAGTATCTCTAGCACCACGTATTTATGCATGCAATTACTTGACTTTATCAGAACACACACACTTACCATATATCAATTCAGATGTTTGCATACGCTGAAGTACATACATTCGGACATACATGCAGGTTCCCTCATGAACATTCACATTTGCACATTGCATCGGTTTTTGGTTGGAATTTTGGTGACAATTGTGCTCGGTCCTCTGTAATGAAACCGGCGTTCACCAATTTTCTTCGGTTGCGCAAAGTGCAAACGGATGTAACACAATTTAGTTGAAAACTTCTAAGAGATTTTTGTACCGTAATGGTCTTTGAATTTAATTAGTGAGTTACAGCAGCAAAACCCTTGAAAAGTGAAAACTATGGCTCAGTTTAAAGAGGACGAGGTAGTACATAGCAGGATGGTTTCAACACGACGAAATTTGGGAATCGCGCTTAAATTTAATTAGAGAGAAAGTAATAGCAATTTTGTTAGTTGGGAAACCAAAAAAATAAACACAATATTTCTCTTATGAAAATTTATAATGAACACAGTTTTATTACTTTATATATATATACATATTTCACATCCTCTTCCATAGAGACACAACTCGAAATTCGTCAATTTGAATTTAATGTATGGAACTTTGTCTACCAACACGCAAAATTCCACTTTGAAAGAGTTTGATGATTTTTGTAGAAGTTTCAAAATGTTTCGGAAAAAATATTCTCCGTTCAAGTCTCGATTAATATTTAAAATTGAAACAATTATTCCCTAGCTGGAACAGTAAAAATCGAAGACACTTTTCGGTATTTTTTGAGTGTGGTTTTAGTGGATCCATACTTGTTTCATGGCATTACGATTGTCCACAGTGGTCCACAAGGCTGTCAGTATGCCTAACACAGTATGCCTAAGAGCAATTGTTCCTGATAAACGATTTTATTGTGAGATTTTTACAATATTCTGCATTGATCTGCATTCGTCAGACTTTGGAAAAGTTTTACTTTTTAAATCCATAAATTTATTACTTCAAAAATTTGTTTACACGCAAAAAAAGAAAAAAAATTTAACTAACATCATTAAACCAGGGCTTATAAGATAATGGTGTGCTAATGGAACTGCGGAATATCTTCTTTGTTTCTGCCCATCTCTCCCTAAACTCACATATCTGAAAGAATAACCAATATCAAACACAAAATAAATAAGTCCTAAGTTAAATAATTTGAGGGCTTTGAGATGAGCACACACATCATTTGGGTCAGTATATTATTCCCGATTTAGAAGTAATTGTGCAATCCTGTAACAAGTATAAGGAATTTCTGTATGGAACTAGATTTAGTTCTGGACTTTGTACACAAAGCTTTAAAGGGCTTTGTGTAATCAATAGTGAAATTGGTATTGCACCAATATCACTCCTCTGCTCACTCACTAACTTCCCCACTTCAATTGAACTCCTCTGGCTTGAGTACCGAATGTTGGACGGTTTCGCGGCAATGGTTTTAATAATAATAATAATTAATCAGTTACAAGGATCCGACTCTCATATCTGACGGCTTTCAAAGGATTGTAATTCAATTTCAGGGGAAATGAGCAGAAACAGAGGAGGTTCTTTAACATGTTATAACTTAAATTTTCTACTCTTCTCACTGGTGGCAGTTTTCCGTTTATGGATGTATAAATAAAAGCTTATTTCCGCTTGTTAATATATGTGAGCATTTCTCAATGAAGTCAATTTGTTTTATCAATTTTTTTTTCTGAATTTGGTAGACTTTATAAATCGCGAATCACGTATAAAATTTAATTTAATATGAAATAGATAATTGTTCATACACCAACAAATACACAAATTGAACCCACACCGTATATTCGATTCCTCAGGCTATACTGAAGAAGAATATACTCTTCTGATGGCGGTGTCTCTTTCAACACGTCGCAATAAACCAGAAAAAGCTTATATGGTAAACTGAAAAAAAGTATGTAAGAGAGTAACAAGAGTTAATAACCTTCGCAACCTCATCTTATTGTGTTCAATAATGTTAACGTCAGCAGTAATAAAATTGAGTTTTCCAATTAATTTTTCATTAAATAATTGCAAAAGAGCTTTTAAATATGCAGGCAGGTGGTAAAAAGTTCATATTAACAAACTCGACATGGAGCGGTAACAATTACTGATAAGGGCCGAGTGAATTGTGGTAACAAATGTTACGCCAGCACTTATCTTTCATGAAAGATTTAAAAACAATTTTTTTTATTATCCGCAGAAATATCAATTAATTAAATACGACAAATGTGAGAGTACTTATGATTAAATATAAGTTCCCCAAAAAAAGTTTGAGTAAGAATTTTCCATATCGCCATCAACTTAAATTTAACTTAAATTCAGTCGATATTTGACATTATAAAACGGAATGCGTTTAATGAACTTCACAGTTCAACTGCATGCATCACCCAGAGTGGATTATTATTCCCAATGCACTTTTTAGTCATTTTAATACTTTACGCTGTTTATGCAAAAACACAGCCAATTGCGAATGATTCCGGTAATGTGGAGCTGCTTGGTGGTGGCTATGAGGGTGACTTGATTTTGAATTTGGAACAAATGCAGTTGCTAAAACAGAGTCATCCCGTCGACTGGAAGTCACGTAATGGTCACTCAGATATGCGGTATCGTTGGCCAAACAAAACAGTCTATTATAACATCAGCACTAAATTTTGTAAGTAGCGTGCCACAACATTAAAATAAAACGCCATTAAAGATAATTTCACTACACTTGCAGTACCAATTGAGATTTCGCAAATAAGACGTGCCATGCGGCATATTGAAATACACACTTGCATCCGTTTCGAGGCAGCTGCACCCAACATGGAAGCATTTGTGCTTATAAGTCACTCGTTAATGGGTTGCAATTCAGAAGTTGGCTATCAAGGACGCGTTCAGCACATTAGACTCATGCGTAGCTTAGCAGGCGTTAGCTGTTTTCGCTTCGGGTCTATTGTGCATGAATTATTGCATACATTAGGTTTCTACCATCAGCAGAGCACCCCAGATCGTGATCAATATGTACGCATTAATTATGAGAATATACTCCATGGCAGTGAGCACAATTTTCAAAAATATGCTGAAGGCTTTGTCAGCGATTTCGGTATAAGCTACGACTATGCCAGTATTATGCATTATGGTCCCTATGCTTTTTCCTGGAATGGTAGACCTACTATTGAACGATTACATAGTAAATCAACTGCTATTGGACAACGCTTCGGATTGAGCGCAAAAGATATACAGAAAATTAAAAAAATGTATTCTTGCTAAGATTTGTAAGCAAATATATATATATATATCAAAAAATTGCTTTCATAATTATTAAAATAATTTATTGAAATATACATACGTATATTTTATATATACATAATTTTTGTTACTGAAATTTGCACTGTTGAACCTAGAGACGTTCAATGGACTATAGTATAGACGTTCATTAAATTATAGTACTGAACCTACAGTACATATTCATCCGATATGAGATGGTATCCTAGAGATTTTTCCCATTTATATATCAGTGCCGGACAAACTCCAAATATGTGTTTTGAGGTCTCATTTGCTTTCATACGAAACCAACGAGTTTCACTACAAAGTTGTGTATGACTCTTTTGAAAATAGAATGGTTATGAACCTTTAACGAGCGACGTTGACCATCGCTTTTGTGGCAAATTAATTTATGCTTTGGATATAAACTTGCAAGCCATAACTTGTTCTTCATAATACAATTGAGCTACAACATGACGGCAGCCTATGTCGATAAGTGAATAACTTCACTTCATCTTAATAGATGGAGAGAGATGAGAACTTGTAGACAGACTAAACTCATGATGCCGAAACAGTTGGTCAGGGAAGCGATAAAAGTGTTTATCTATCCGCGGAGCACACTAAGCTGGCTGACCTCATTGTTTACTGGACATGGACAGATTAATTATAACCTAAAAAAGATAATTTTTGTTGAGGAAGACACTTGCAGATTATGTCTAGAAGAAAAGGAGATAGCAGAGATAGAAGAATGACTGTCTTGTCTTGTAACCATTGGGTTGGTGATGACTTGGCAGGCTACCTCAAGCTAAATGAGCTGCTTGCAATAACAAGAGATGTAGTTATGCGAACGGAAGCCACTCTAGCTACTCTATTCTCGGAAGCCGAGAATCGATGGGCGAAAAAGGACCTAAGTCTTTCGTGGTCTACTTCGGCTAATCTTTTACTTCAGTGGAACAACTTATTGGACGTTCTCAACGTCTCACAATATATATAGTATATAGTGTATGCCTTTCGTAGTCATTATAATATCCTCAAGGCAGTCGTCGACCTGGAGCGCCGGCTAAAATTTGGAGAAGTACAATTGAAGAAGAACTAAGAGAAGCAAACTATTTCTGGAGTGGCATATGCTGTGAATCAAATAACCGTATACGATGTAAAAAGATGGTAAATGCCCAATCCTCCACTGGGAGATAAGAATAAGAGAGAATAAAATGGACGATATAATAAAAAAAGAAGAAGTTAAAATTTAAAAAGTTTTAAATATAGAAAATAAGTTTTGCATAAGTATCCTTCATATACTTTCAATGACTTTATTACCCTAAAATTCGTATATTGAAATTTTGGTGGTAGTATTTATATGAGAAACCTAATACCAAGAAAGAAGGCCACTTTAAAGTATTTCTCTGTCTGAAATGTAAATATATTTGTTAAGACGTCAAACATTTTATTATGGATGATCAAAAATGAAAATTGGTTTCATATATACTTTAAGTTTATATATTTAAATTTTAAAGTTTATTTGTTCATATTGCCAACTTAGAGAAAGAGAACATGATTTTTCGCTTTTTGCATCTTCTTAACATCTTTCTGATAACTTCTTAACACAAAATTTATATTAAAGTTGAGAACGAAATTGCATTTCTTTTAAAGTTAAAAGTTAAAAGTTAAATAAAAGCATTTAAAGTTGAACTTATGACCTACAAAAGTTTTTATATAAGGTTGTGTATAAATAATTTATGGTTCAAGTTGAAAGCAAAATGAAAATAAAGTTTCAATAATATTTCATCAACGTTCATTTCAACATAAATAATACACAATTATGAGTGTTGTTAATGCAGTGAATGGGTAATCATACGGCAAGTAATTTTTATAAATTTTACTGCATAAAACATACCATATGTGCGTAATTGTTCAAGCCAAATTGCCGACACAAAAATTACACAAAAGACATCCTCGAAAAGGCGCCACCCATAAAACGTTTAAAGCGCTGCAAGCAAGCAAGAACTACAAGGAAACTGAATCCTAATTAAAGTTTGGAAATTTCATGAATTTCATATATTAAAGTTGATTTTCTAATATTTTACTCCTCACCACTACGCAGTCGATTATCCTGCAGCATCGCTTGCAGGATGTGTGTGAGTTCCTTACAACCCAATTTGATTGATTGCAACTGGAACCGTCGCAATCAATTCGTAATAAAATTAATGCAACTCAATTATTCAGAAACTCGCTCAAGGACAAATACCACGCACACATATGCACTCAATTTAGCACACATACACATACACATACCCATTTATGGGTGAAGAATCTAAAGAATAACACACAAACATTTCAACTTAAGGCAAAGAATAAGATTTTTGCTTAAAGTCCTTTGAGACGTTGCGACTTTGCCAATGAAATAATAGAGTTGAGATCAGCCAACAATTAAGGGTGGGAGAGATGTGGGTTCATAATGCGCTACCATACAGAGGCTACGTGTGTATAGATTAAATCAGGAACATATTTGTGTATTCATACACAGTTGCCGTTAATGATGATGAATTCGTCTTTCCAACTGCGGGTCGCGGCATAATCGGATATGTAAATACATAAGCACCCAGTAGGAAATCAAATAGTACTTGGGTCTCCATCTGCATTGTTATTGCGAACAATTACTCTACGTACAGATTCACCTTTACCTGTGTTATATATATATATTTAATTGGCAAAGGATTACTGAAAATGTTGTTCTGTAAAAATAAGTTAGCCATTAGCCATTAAGTTAGCCATTATTGTGAAATGTAAAATGCGAGTAAAGTACCAATTAACTATAAGTGATTATCTATACTCGTTACATAGTTGATATAAACACTAAATTGGATTTTGAAGAAATGGTTTTTACTGTTAAAGTCATAAAGAGCTTTACACTAATGGTCTGAGTCCATTTTCTTTAACAAATTATAATATAAAAACTTAGCTTTATACTATAGAAGTAGCCAATTTCTTTGAATTCACGGATAGTTTAGTTTACTGAGATTTATTTTTTCATCCGATAGAAGTTGTCCCCTTTTATTGTTGTAATTCACAGAGTGTTATTTCTTTTTACAATAAAAGTTGAAGACCTGTTTTAATATACTACTATTATGTTTAACTGAAATGTGTTTTTTAAATCAGTATATATATATATTACTGTAATTCAAGGAGTGTTATTCCTTTTTCCGAAAAAAATAGAATACTGTTAGTACATTAAGACTGAAAAGTTTTCGGAAATTCTCATTTAAAATTCGCGCGCTGTATATTTTTCGATATTTTAAGTTTATGTAGTTTGGCAGCACTGTCCTTAATTACTATGCCAAAAATGAGCTCGATCTGTCAGACAGTTCGTTTACGGCAGCTGTTGAAACCAGTTCACCTCAGTAGTGCGTTGCGAAATGTCTTCGACGGTCGTACGACCGTCCTGGAAGGCTTTGTACCACTCATAAACTTGAGTTTTCGATAAAACTGATTCCCCATAAGCCTTTTGTAGCATTCGCAACGATTCTGCACACGAAATTTCGTTCGAAACACAAAATTTGATGCAAACTCTTTGTTCAATATTTTTTTCCATTGTTTTTTTCGCAACGCCCTACTGAGGTGAACTGGTTTCAACAGCTGCCGTAAACGAACTGTCTGACAGATCGCGCTCATTTTTGGCATAGTAATTAAGGACAGTGCTGCCAAACTACATAAACTTAAAATATCGAAAAATATACAGCGCGCGAATTTTAAATGAGAATTTCCGAAAACTTTTCGGTCTTAATGTATATTTAATAGAAATGTATTTTTTAACCCGTAACATATACTGTTGCCTATTTTATACATCATAGTTGTCTATTTTATAAAATGGGTAGTATACACTGCTGAGACTTATTTCTACATTCGTTATAGAATGTTATAGAATGTAAATGAGGTTTATTTTTTTATCCGCTAATAGTTGTTCGGATCTGTTCTAATGCTTGTTATATATAAACTATTCGAAAATTTTATAATACAGAAAGTAAACACTACTAAGCTTTTTTTTTCATCCAGTATACTTAGTCCACTTTTTATATATATAATAATAAAAAATATTAAAAATTAATATAAATTATTAAAATATATAATATTATTTAATAATATATATATTATTCTACCGAGTGGTTGCTCTACATTCCAAAAGTAGTTGTTGATGAAATTATTGTACGAATACTTCTCTCAGACTAATAGTTTCTTCTGATATAAGTATGTAGGGACTTATACAAAATGTCCTATTAGTATTATAAAACTATGCTCTGGAAATAATATTATTGGATAGAAGATCTTACGTTATTATGGGGCAGTGGCATAATAAAAACTTCTTCATTACATATTTTATGTTATTTAACATCAGGAATTGCTTATTTTAAAATTTAAACGCAGGTATATATATATTCATATATATATATAAATAATATCTGTAATAGTAGTAAATATTAGAAAAAAGGAAGTACACACATTTTTGCTAGGCAGTTTCCAAGCACATAATTCATTTTACTTGTATGAGCGTCTTTTGAAAATTCTTTTTTAAATATTTTTTATTTAAAATGAGCGAATTTGGGGTTTCGCATCATAAGTACGAACCCTTAAATAAAAAATTATAGACTTCTTCATCGTGCTACTAAAAACAGTGAAAACTATTAAAGAGTGCTTTTAATATATAATATTACTGAATATAAAATTATTATTCATTATTCATATTCATTATTATTATTCATATTATTATACTATTTTTTAAAAAAGGCTTTAAACAATTTATTAAATAATAATAATAATATAATAATAAAAGTCAGGGGGAGTTTAAGAAATAATTTTAGGGATTAGGACTAGGACTGTGAACTCCAATGCCATTTTGAATTTGTTTTTTTTTTGTGCTATTCAATAACTAAACTTTTTTGCTGAAATTCAAATTAATAAAAATAATGCAAAACCAATTAGTATAACTAGTGTTACAAATTTATAATTCCTTTTCAATATTAACAATTATCAAACAAGTCAAAGATTTTAATTATCCTCTCTTGTGTTTTTATTAAGACCTCCGAATTAGTCATACATGTTCAATTGTCTAGTTTTTAAATCCACTGCAATTGATGGAATGATATGAGATGGTCTAAATGATATGAGATGACCCATGAGTATTATTTATTATTGTTTAAGATTGATTCAAAGAAAATTCATACAACACTTACAGAAATTATTGAACTATAGTTAAAAACTAAATCGACACTTATGGTATAAGTGTATTTTCTTTACTTATTTAGTAAGATACTTAAGTAATTTCAAGATTTTGTCGTTTTCATTTACGTAAGTTACTTATCGCATATAAAAAAGCTTTTATGTGTCAGAAAGTCTCTTGAAAGTTCTAAGAGTGTTTCTGTTTGTTTTAATCAACTTCAGTTAATAATATAATAATATATCACACAAAAAAATTAAATGTGTTATTGATTAAATCATTTATATATATATACAAAAACAAACATATTACTAACAAAAACAAACATATTAATAAATACTTACTTTCTTAGTGCGTTTGTTTCAAGTTAGCTGTTGTTTATTTACATTTTACATATAAAACATACATTTCGAATTTTCGTAATTTCCCTTGTGGGAAATTTATTTTTAAAGTTACATACGCCATTTTTAATCTAAATTTTCTTGGTTTATTTTTAAAAAAGTTAAATAGAAGTTTTTTGTATGGTTAATGAAACTTACTTAGTAAGTTACACTTGTTTAGTAAGAAGAGGAAACATACTAACACATTTATTTATTTATTTAAATGAAACTAAGAATGAGAAATTGAACTACTAGGTCCTTTGTCCTTATACTATAACATTTTCGTTTTTATTCATATAAGTTCGTCAATAATTAATCTTCTGTAACATAAAACATTTTTTATGAATTTGTACAGGTTATCAGTATTGCTAGCACTTTACAAGACTTTAACTTCTTTTTCGGACAAGTAGTTTGTAAAAAAAAATGTCTCTAAATTATTTGAAAATCGGGTATAACATATTAAAATGACATAAGTATCTATTTCATGATGATTACTCAAAGAATAATCATGTACTGATATATTAAACGCTCTGGCTTTGGTCCGTTAGTATATTTTGTTACTACTTCCATTAGTTTTCACTTATTTATTTTTAACCCCTACTTTTTGTATGTGTGGCTATGCGTTCTACAAAGTACAATCACTTTCTGATATATTGAACGCTCTGGCTTTGATCCTTTCGTATATTCTGTTACCGCTTCCAACAGGTTTCATGTATTTATTTTTAACCCCAACTTTTTGTATGTGTGGCTATGCGTTCTGCAAAGCTTTCCTTCCATCTCTTGGGTATAATACGGAAGTTGTAATTTTTTTCCACTGCCGGATGTCAGCTTTGGTTAATAATTTTATTGTTAACATAAACGCAATTAAAGGTTGAAATTTTTACTTTTCTTTGTATGCAAAATTAATTTTGATGCTTGACTTAACGTTTGATAAATGACATGTGAAGGATATGTAAGGTCAATGCGATTTAAATGTTTCATAAATTCTCATTTATTCTCAATGGAAATATTTTTGCTTTAAATGACTGGATTAAGCAACAATTTTCGAGAAGTTCAAAATTGTACCATAATAAAAATATATGGTAAATATATGAATTATTAAATAACTCTTTAATTAAGTTAAATAAATTTTGTAATTTGGAAATTGTAAGTACACAGATTGATAAATGGATTTGCAGTGTACGTTTGTGGGTGTGTGCAGAAAGTTTCTTCGCTACTAGGCAAAAATTTATGCAAGATATGAATTCACAAGGAGTCAATACTCGTATACCGCAAAAGTCATTAAAAATATATTCTTAGTTTATTTAAATTAAGAAATCAAGATGTGCGTAAATATTTCATGAAAACATTTGCGGTTTGCAAATGACAAACCGAAGTACTTCAGATTTTCTATACTTTGAGTTATTAAGTCAATGAAATGAAATTATGTACATTCAAATACGAGTTTATGGAAACTTTTCAATTAGAACCAGAAATGTTTAAGGCGGATTCAACAGAATAACAGCAGTTCGAGGCAAAGGACTAAATTCGTTTCGGTATGCAAATAATTGTGCAATTACTCACACATGTGCATTTCCATAATTCATTTAATAAAGCAATTATTCCTATGTAGTCGTATGTGATTGCTGGCATACACATGTACAATAAATTTGGTATTTGTCGAGTACGTGAAGCCCTACAGAGCAAGATGATTTCTGGTACCATAATTAATTTAAATTCTAAATCTGTTGTTTTTTAAAATTTCCTTCAAAAACATTTAATTGTGAATATTGAAATAAAATTTTGCTGCTATTAGAAAATTGTTATGCACATATATAATTAAAATATTCAACTTCCCTTCAAAGCCATCCTGCTGGTACTTAAAGATTGAAGCTCAATATAACAATTTGTGGAATAAAGAATAGATTATTAGGTTATCATGACCGGAACGTCACCGCAATTTGACTTAATCCATTTCAAATAAATAAAATAAAAGTATAGTTTCACTGTTTGCATTTCATGAATGTCTAACTCTTAAACTATTTTTCAAAAAAAATAAAATATTTTCAAAATAATAAATCAAAAAAAATTATGTCTGTAGTTTAAAAAAAATTTTATTAAACACAACTCCAGATATAATAAATTTACTCAACACATAATTGTTTTGCTAATCAACAAAAAATACTGTTTTAGTGAGCTCTATTGTAAGTTGAGCGCTTGAGTCCCAATGAACTCAACGGCCACTTCTTAGCCCATAACAAGGAATTTACTTCAACGAGAGCCTTTAGTTGAAATTTTGAATCAACTCATTCACCTGTTCACTATTCAAAAATATCATAATGCATTGTTAAAGAATAAATATGTGTATATATATTGCTTTACGCTTCATTTTAAAGTTGTTTAGGGCTTGGGGAGATCTGGTCACACACCTATTTTAATGCTTTCATTTAAATCTTGTAATTTTTAGCTTGCTCAAAAATTTACCACAAACTTAAGCAACAAAAGATATACATTTTATATAGGTTATTCATTTAAAAAACGTACAGATTTCGGCAAAAAATGATCTCAACACCTCCGATTTGACTGAAATCTTTTTATGAGCTCCTTTTGAAATTTTGAAGCTTTGACATGGAACCCATAAGGCAGCAGACGCCATGGTGTACCGGCTTTAACTTGGAGAAGAACAATTGAAAGAGAAATGACAGAAGCGCACTAAATCTAACAGAGTGCGGTTTAAGACAAACGTTACGGCCCTATGCCCCACTAGGGGAAAAGGATATTAAGAAAGAAGAAATGAGAAACTATTGCCATGTTAATTACTTGAATTATTATTAATTGAATTACTACTTAAGTAATTGAATATCATAAATTTATTATATTTATTAAATATCGGAATTGTCCAGCGTATAGTTTTCTTCAGCGGGCTCTAGTGGTCAACTGATGTTGACTATAACATTTATTAAAGTATTGCTTTCTATATTATGAATATTATTATATTATTAATTTGTTGTTACTATTATGGGTGCTAATAAAACTTTTAATTATATGGGTAAAAAACCTCAATAGTTTTAAAAGGAATACGGTATTGGTATATTAAATGGAGTGTCTTTGTTAGTGATATAATTCATAGAACTTACATTTTAAATTGAAGTAAGTGTTATATTCTGGTTTTAACATTTTCTCAGAATTTTTTATAAGAGTCTCATGTACTATTATGTGTTTTCATAATAAATCAAAAATAGTTGCTTCATGTTAATACTATTAAATAATGGTTTATGATGTGCTATCAAATCAGCTCGAAATCAGTACACTACACTACAGTCTTGCGAACTGCAGCGAAAGTGCTGTAACAAATCATAATATTTTACCTTAAGAACATTTGCCGAAGAACTTACATATCGCTTAAAAGTCGATCGATAAGATTAAATTAATTTATATTCTTATAAGATTTTCGATTTGCGAGTATCTGCATTAGTGAACTGGCAAACTGCGTGCAGTTGGCTTAGTTTTTATTGCCCAAAAAGATAATTTCATTGTTTCCGCAGCAATTGAAAAACACAAGTAAACGCCTGTTTTATAGCCAAATAAAGAAGTAGAACGAGGCAATATCGATGGCTAATAAATATTGTTTTTATATTCGCAATATATCAGATAAGATCAACCTAAGTCATTAAGAACTTTGCCACTACAATTGAAATAATTTTCTAGTTTAAGTTTTGAAAGTCTGCGGTCCGGACGTACTTAAGCAATGAAAATATTTTATATATTTCTGGTATTTGCTTACCTAACTGTGTGTGAGTCTGCACCAGCGACCCAACAACGGGTCGAAACTGATCCGGAATTGACTGCTGGATATTTTGAAGGTGATATTGTTTTGGATAATAATCGAAATGGCATTATAACGAAGACCAGACACTGGCCAAATGGCATTGTTTACTATAAATTTGGTGACATAATTGGTAAGTAGTTATTAAATGTTTTAAAAGTGAAATCCATTAAATCGATGTTATGTGCACAGATGAACCACATCGCAATCATATCTTACGAGGAATTGAAATGTTGGAACAAGTGTCATGTATACGATTTAAGGAAGCTGATGAAAATCAAAGTTACTATGTTAACATAACTACGCAAGGTGGTGGCTGCTTTTCTACGGTTGGCTGGTATAACCAAGTTCAAACATATAATCTTCAGATATATCCACTGGATGAAGGTTGCTTCCGTTTAGGCACGATTATGCATGAATTTTTGCATACTCTCGGTTTCTATCATCAGCAAAGCACGTGGAACCGTGATGAATATGTACGCATAGCTGAAGAAAATATTCAGCCAAATACAATACACAATTTTAACAAGTACGACTCTGACTTTGTTGATAATTATGATGAAGAATACGATTATGCCAGCATACTTCACTATTCTGCATATGCGTTTTCTGCAAATGGTGAAATGACCATTATTCCATTGAACGAAGCAGATGCTGCCTCAATGGGACAACGCAGAGCTCTAACTCGAAGCGATATCAATAAACTGAATGTAATGTATCGTTGTCCGATTAAACCATAGAATCATTTAACTCCTGCAACTATAATAAATTGATATTGTAATAAAACTTATTAATTGAAATATTTTTTGCATGCTTTTGTATTATACGAGTAATGGAAGAAGAACCAAATATACTTCAATGAAGAAAATATTAAATAAGAAGTGACTTAAAAGACCGCAGAGCTGTAAAAGATTATCAATAGATTATGTTAGCCTTGAATGCGATAATGCTACGTGTATATTGTTTATAATATTGTTTTAATATGTTCTAAGAATCCGTTCCACAATGAGCTTATATGTCTTTCTGTTTTGTTGTGAAACAGGAGAAACACACCCTTCAAACCTACTAGTGTAATAGTGTGGATCGGTCCAGAAATTATTATACACAATTTCATTTTGTAGTAAATTACACTTATAATTTGAACTTCACAGTTTTATAATGTATTAGAAAAAGCGATACTATAAAAAATAATAATCTGAGTTATAGATATTAAATCTCTCTGACCTAACCTTAATAACCAACAATTGATTTTGTGAAAAAAATGATCTGGACTATGCTAGGGTGTCAGCACAGTTGTTTGAAGTGCATGAAGAGTAGTACTATTTCTAAAAAATAACATGATTTGAAGGAAGCTTTAATCTCTCTAAAATCTATAAATTTCTATTTACATGCCACAAAACTGCAATTTTTCATAATTTTCCATTATTTTAAATGCAAAGCGATATTTTTAAAATTGCTCCGATTTTAAAAATAAAGAAGTGTATTATTTTGAATGTCTACATAAAACAATATAAGGGATTATTTAGAAAGAAAGAACCATACAGCATAAAGAAAGAATAAGAAGCATTCTAAACTATATATAAGAGAACTATGAAAAACACTGCTGGGTATACTTTCTTTTACTACGAGAGGTGGCAAGAAGAAAGAGTGCCATTGGAAAAACAAATAAGATATTGGAGAAACTTGGGGTGTGTGTAACATTATAACTCACCCAAGTTATGATCCAAAATAAGAAGTAAGACCTGGATGAAAGCTAAAGCAAACGAAAAATAATGTCAAGACACTTTAAGTAACTTTTTGGTAAGTCTCAGGTCATTGGTCATTGGAAGAACAAATAATAAGTTGCACTGTAGAAATTATTATTGGATAGCTATAGGTACAACCAAAATATGTTTCGAAGTAAGAAATAAGACCTGGATAAAAGCTAAAACAAACGAACAATAATCTCAAAGCACTCTAACATAAGTAATTTTTTGGTAACTCTAAGGTGAAAAAGGCTGGGTTGATGAAGGGAGTTAGATTTAAATCCGTGTATCCTGTAACTTCATGGAGGAAAGGCACGATTGATAAAGGAGAATATGTTTCAATTCGTGCAAATCGGACTTACCACTACTCTGACAACATGGTGACGAAGCGTTAGATATTTTTCAATCCTACTTTTCCCGCAAAAAAAAAAGAAATAAAAAAAATAGTTATTATATTAAGTGTGACAGCTCCAGCATATGAACAAAATAATACTAAACTATTTATTATAAATGTTTGAAATTTATATATCATAATTATAGTATTTAGCGTACAAATGAAAACCTCTGTTTGTAAATAATTTCTACATAGGATCTCATTTCCATACGATTATAATCTATCCACAATAATTTGTATATCTAAAAGTGTGTAGACTTTAAATAAGTGAATAACTCAATATTAAGTTTAAAATTGTAATGTTTTGCAATTGAAGGTTCCAAAAGCATACCACAGATCTACAGTAAAGAAGTATAGGAAAAGATATTTATATTTTCTAAAAGTTAAGAATATGAATGAACAATAATTGACTCGAATAGTTCTTAGTTAAAATGCTATAACTTCTTAACCAAACTTTTGTTGGTGTACTTATTTGGCTATAGATTGCAGATAAGACTTGAAAAGAATAAAAAAAAAATTAAACGTATATCAGTTTATATTAGTTTGCAAACAAAAAAAAATATATATAATAAAAATGTTTAAAATTTTTTAATGCATTTCTGTTTGCTTATCAATCTTTAATGTCTTATCAAAATTAGATACGAAAATTAACAAATCGAATCAAGATATCATACACAAGCACCGAACGGTTAAAATATTTTTTCCATATTCTTGAATAATAATTTGACGACTACTGTAGGTTTCTAGGCTTCTGTTGAAAAATATGCCATGATTTTTGCATAGAAGTGATTGAAATTCAGTTCATTTAAAAATTTATACTGTACTACAAAATAAAAGTTTTCCTCAGTATAAGCTAATATTTACATTATCTGTTAAGTTAAATGCTGTTTTTATAAATATTAAAATTATAAAATAAAATATAAAATTGATATCAATTAATTTATATACGAGTATTAATTAATTTAGTGAAATAGTATATTTAGCATAAAATACTAACGAAAGATCTTTATTGCACTTTGTCAGATTAGTGTATTAAATATATTAAATATATAATAAATATATTATTATTTGCACAAAAAAAAATATTAAGTAATAAATAAATAATATTAAAAAACACATGGTAGAATAACATTAAAATTAGTATTTTTGTTAAAACGAATATTTTAATGAAAATATATATAAAGTATACACTACCTCCAAACCCAGAAAAATTAAGGAACATTGATTGTTATTTTAATCTACAATCCTTGTAGATTGCCTTATTGTCAGTTATTATGTGTATAAATATCCGTTATTTTAATTTTTTAAATAGTCAAGCCTCGTAGGTTTTGCAACCGTTTTGGATGATTCTTATGAACAGCTAAATGCTTTTGACGTAATTACTAAGCCCTTTTCAGCATAATGTCAATCCATTTTTCTAACTAATTTAGATGATATGTAGAACATTGCATACTTTGTTAACGATTTTTAAACTTTGGGAATATTTTTCCTCGAGTGTGGTTTTTTAACAATTTATAAGTTAGTCTGACCCAATGAATGAATCTCATATTACAAGTCCACTCAGATATCAGAGTTGCTTTACTTCTTATTCATATTCTTCATCTTCTTATATTTTTGTATCAAATTTCTTTATTATCGTTACCGCATGGGAAGCATCTAGCGGAATCTCTTCCATTCTTGATGGTGCTCTCCCATTTTTTATTTTTACTTATCGTTCTTAGAATTGCTGAACATACAAATATTTTGTTCATGACCAAATAACTAGTACATTTTTAGATACAAGTGACTTACAAGATTCTTCAGGAAAATTATTTCAGAAGATTTTGCTGGATCATATTTAGTTATAACACATAACAAATGCGATGTCTATTTATAACTTAATATTTTACTTATTTTTTCACCCTATAGACTAGTCCATGAATTTTGTGTAGATTTACATATATTCAATTAATTAGCTGTCTTTGTCACGGGCAGTATTATCTCATTCATAAAACTTATTTTATTTTGATATATTCATAATTATTGTTATAAATTATAATGATCCAATAATACAATTAATACTATTAGTATAGTTTTTGAAGTTTTTAATATATTATAAGATCGTTTTATAACAAAAGGTTCGGTGAACACTATCTGGTTGCGATATCTTCCCAATGATCCATAAAGTATTATATATTTCTCTCAATATTTTTATAAGGTACTATGTTAAACATTTTAGTTTGAATTACATTTTAAGATAATGATTTATTTGCAATTAGAAAAAGCACAGAAATTATAGTGGAGTAAAATATTCAGAAATTAGGGTTTGGAACCTCAATTTTTTTTCTTATTTTCGGTAAAAAGAGATTCCATTTCGTTTATACTCTTATCACTATCAATTGTAGTAGCATTCGTTTGCGAATATGAATTCAGAATTTTGAATGAGTCTTCTACTTCATTCTTGGAAGGCTGATAAACAATTACATCCACCGAATCCTCATCATCACTTATCGTTGCGCTTAGAATTGGATCCAGTTTTTTAGAGCTATAGTGCTCAATAATATCGTCATCTGTAGGAAAGCTTGATGTACAAATTTCATTTTCAAGTTCAATATAATCGTTAAGAGTAGCACTGGAAGTTATTTTATTTACTTAAAACCACGCTGCCAGCGACTGGCATTTACACAACAAAGCAACATATGAAAGTAAAAATTAAACATTTGATTTGGAAAAAGGGATTTCCCCCAACAGCAAAATATATTTATACTTAAAACAAAAATTATGAATAATGGAAACATATAATTTGTATATATAATTTGCTCTCTAAAACCTTGGTGTACTGTTTTTGGTTCGAGTTATAGAAAATTCGAGTTATAGAAGTTCGAGTAATGGAAGTTTGCTAAAAGCATAAATATCATAAGAAGAGTATATGGTATCAGAAATTAATAAAACTTACCAGCCGACTATAAATAATAAATGGACAGACATATTTTTATATATTCCTGATATTATGATATGTATGTAGTTGTGTATATTTGCTTACTTAATTAAGCAAACTATTCAAAAAACGATAATGAATCGTTATTATATCGATTTCATAAAGTAACATTTTTAGTAATTTTAATCGAATTCAGAGCTTTTGAAAAAAATATATAAATATCTTAACTTTATACAATTTAAAGCTGTGCAAGTTAAATTTATATTAAAGATTTGATGATATTGCAGTTTTTGGACTAACAACGGAATATTAACTTAAATAAGAGATTAATATTAGAAGGAGCTCCTATGCTTTTTATGGACATTTTAATCCGAATTCAAGAATTCAAATAGATTTTTTGTTACTGAAATCAACTTTTTTAACAATAAATCACTATATTTATTTAATTTAATTTATATTTGTTCTCTTCAGCAAATTTTTCAATAACAAGAAAAAAAATGAAAATAATTAAAAACTACCGAACTATGATTATGAGAAAAAATCTGGATAATTTTAAATAAAAATGGATGCCGGTATCTATATTTCAATTCTCGAATAAACTGTGTGATAAGTTAAAAATGCAATTCTATTCTATTTTTTATTCGTTCTTTCTTTAAAAGAATTTATTAACAAGATCGAATTTAATAGTTAGAATATAATAT